AGGGGAGTCTGAGACAGAGTTCTCAGAAGTGGTGTAATATCAGAGGGAAGACTTATCCAGCATCATGGGGCTTGGACACCCAGCTGGATAGAGAGTGACAAGCAAACAGACACACACACACACACACACACACACACACACACACACTGAGATACACACACACAGAGAAAGAGAGAAGAGGATAACTCATCTCTACCTGCTTCCTGTCTGTAAATGCAGTGTGACCAGCCGCCTCACGTTCCTGCCACCATGCCTTCTACACCACGTGGACAAGCATGGTGCCTACTCACTCATAAGTAGATATGAGCTGTGAAATCAAGGATAACTATGCTATAATCCACAGACACAGAGAAACTAGCTAACAAAGGAGGCATGCCTGGATCTCCCTAGGAAGAGAAATACAAGATCTTTCTTTTCTTTCTTTCTTTCTTTCTTTCTTTCTTTCTTTCTTTCTTTCTTTCTAATGGAGATGGGTTAGTTTAGGACATAAGAGTTAGCCAGAAATATGCTTAAGCTATTGGCCAAACAGTATTGGAAATAATAAAGTTTCTTTGTGGTTATTTCTGGTCTGAGCTGCTGGGCAGCTGGGAAACAAACAAGTGGCCTCCTACTACACTGAGATTTCTTGAGTGAACTGCGGGAGGGTGAAGATAGGAACATAAGCGACCAGGTTGCTGGGAGATGGGTACTGAAAGTGACTACTGGAAGTGGGAGGCATTTCAATGTCAGCTAAAATCCCGGTACAAGGGAATCTCCCAGGAATCTACAGGGATGACCCCAGCTAAGAATGCTAGCAATAACGGATACATAGCCTAAACTGGCCATTGCCTGGGACCAATTGGGTACCTAGCCCAATTGTCATCAGAGAGGCTTCATCCAGCAGTGATGAAAACAGATGCAGACCCACAGCAAAACATTAGATAGAGTTCAGGGAATCCTGTGGAAGAGAGGGAGAAGCGATTTAGGCTCTAGAGGGGTCAAGGGCACAAGAAAACTCACAGAATCAACTAACCTGGGCCCATAGGGGCTCACAGAGACTGAACTAACAACCATGGAGCCTGTATGAGACTGACCTAGGAACTCCGCCTATATGTGACAGTTGTGTAGCTTGGCCTACACATAGTTCTTAAACATAAGAAAATATGTTCAATGTCAATCATTAGAAGTGCATAAACTATACATATATGATTTTTACAAAAATATCAGATATGGTAAAAATCCAAAAGTTTGAAAATCACCCTTTTTATCTTGTGTGGAACTGGGGTACTCTCTCGTACATTTCTACCACAGACCTGATTGGGCATCTCCTGCAGAGAGTAGAGGGTGTGATATCTGTCCCCCTGGAGACACATTTGCCCTTTGGTTCGGCAGGTACCCTGTGCAATATTAAAATCCTGGACCTGGTGAAGAACAGCAGAGCAAAGCATTGCGGCTGTAAATACAGAAGACTGGAAACATGTCCAAGTCCGCCTGCAGGGTGCAGCTCGGGGGCCCATATGCTGGATGGTAAAGGAAATGACGTAAAACCCTTCACCCGCAGTATGGAACCATGCCCCACATCGCAGTGAACTGCAAACAACACAGCAGAGTGCTGTATTGTATAACACCCAAGTAAAAAGAATATGTATTTTGTTTGTATGTTTAAAAAAAATACTCATTATAAAGATCCCTCAACACATCAACCTCTCTCGGGTGAGGGTAGGAACACAGCTGGTGTGGAAGAAAGACTTTTGCTTGCGTGACCCACAGCTTTGGACTTGAACCCTCCGATTCACTTCCTCAAAAGTTAGATACATCAACCTTCAGCCCAGGAAGCAAATGCAGGGCCACACCTGCTCACCCTGCCTCCCTCACTTGGGAGCAACCTGGCTTCCTGGGCTACAGAATGAGCGTGCATTGTCTTGGTTTCACCGGGCCTCAGGTGGGCATAGCAGAGTCCCTGTAGGCCACGGGACTTGCTGAGGCCTGTCTGCTGAAGCCAAAGATTCTGTTAGAACCTGAAGACCAGGGATAGGATGGAACCCCTGATTCCTAAGACGAAAGGCAAGTGCTCAGAGACAGCCCGTGCTGGGACCTCTCCAACTGCGTATGCCCTAGAAAGGCTAAGAAGAAGCCCAGGACTGACCAGCCTGGCTGGCCAGGCTTATGGGAATTTCCAATTGACTTCTAGCTTCCCTTTCCTTAAGCATCCTCCCTGTGTGGCAGTTGAAAGAGTTTAGGATCACCTGACTAAGGAAGGCTAGAGACCTTGGCAAAGGAAGTTGACTTTTGAAGTAGGCTGTCCTCAGGCCACAGGGCTTGGTTCTTAATTAGTCTAGGATGGATGTGAGGTCTGGATCTGGAAACTGGTTTTGTTTTGTTTTAACTCCCCCCCCCCCGAAGGCATTCCATATTACAACCAGCAGGCTTGTTTACATCTTCAGCAGGCCTTTTAATGACCCTGAGGCTAGGGGGCCATACACAGCAGCTCATGCTATGAGCAGGCAGGCAACTCAGACAACACTGGCCACAGGCCACTTTGGGGCTCTCTGGGTCTTGGCAGAGAAAGATTTATTTAGTCACAATGTGCTGTGCACTTCCTTGACTTGAGGCACTGCCTCTGCACAAACAACTGTTGAGCATCTAGTATGACCCCAGCACAACCTGGAGCATCCTATCCTGGAGCTGGAGCATCTTGTCCTGGAGCATTCCATCCTGGGGCATCCCATCCTGGGGCATCCCATCATGGGGCATCCCATCCTGGGGCATCCCATTCTGAGGCATCCCATCCTGGGGTATCCTATCTTGGAGCATCCCATCCTGGGGCATCCCTTCCTGGAGCATCCCATCCTGGGGCATCCCATTCTGGAGCATCCCATCCCAGAGGGTCATAAGCTCCAGGATGCCCTCTGCTCTCAAGGCTCCTCCACAAAGGGAGGCAAGTGATGAAATGATCACATACTTGTCTCTAATTGCTTTTGGCCTCCTGAAGCCACTGCTTCATAGCTCCTCACGTTCTCTGAGCCTCCAGCACAATGGTGCTCAACCTTCCTAAGGCTGCAACCCTTTAATACAGTTCCCAACCATAAAATTATTATTGCCGCTACTTCCTAACTGTAATTATGAAGTTAACAATTCATAACTGTTATGAATTGTAATGTAAATATCTGATATGCAACCCTCAAAAGGGTCGTTGGACTCCCAAAGGGGTCACAAGTCACAGGGTGAGAACTCCTGCTCCAGCAAATTCTGGAAACCATGACAAGTCTTTAATAAATACTTGCTCATATCATGAGATTTGTTAGGGTCAGAACTAAGGCGCTGACAGCCCTAGCAAGCTAGGCTCAGCCACGCACCCAACTTCAATAGACCAATCAAGGACACGGTTAACAGGAATGAAACTTATTAACATCATGAAGGAAAGAAAGGGGGAATAAAGGAGACAATGTGGCCAGATGGGAAGAGGAACATGCAAAGAAGTCCAACGACCACCCTAAAGCCATCTACTACGCATTGACATGAAGTCTAAGGGACTGGAGAGGTGGCTGGGTGGTTAAGAGGACCCCATTGCAGAGGACCCCTTCACTTCCAGAAGAGCTGATGCCTTCTGTCCTCAGAGGATACCAGGCATGCATGTGCTACACATACATACACAGAGGCAAAACACACATATGAAAGTAAACAAATCTTTAACATAGAGATTGAGGGGTATCCATAACAGAGAAGTCCTGGCCAAAGTGTGATCCGCCCTGTCCCCACCTATCGTTTCGGAGATCTTTTGCAGAGGGGTAACAAGTTGTCACAGCTGGGAGGAATCTCTTCTAGAAAGAAGCTCCTCCTTTGGCTGGCCAGCACCAAGACTCAAAGCTTCCCTTCTCCCATCCTGAGATTCCAGGGAGAAGTTCCAATCTCTTGGGTCTGTTTTCTCAAGTCTGACCGCCAAAGCAAAGGTCAAAGTGTCTTTTTAGTATAGGTTCATTCTCTCCTGGGCCCTTGCGCTTACCCCTCCTCAGGGACAGCACTCACCTTGTTCTTCCAACAAGAAGGACCATAGCCTCCTCACGAGACCCACTCATCAGCATACATTCCCTACCTGGACCACTCCTCCCCTCGAAACCCACAGGACGCACCACCCGACCTCCTTGTTAAGTGCGGTAGTTAGTTTTGAACTTGCCACAACCTAGAACCATCTGAGTCTCAGATGAGAAATTCTCCAAAACTGGTTGGCCTATGCGCATGTCTCTGAGGGATTCTTTTGCTTGCTGATTGATGTAGAAGGAGGCAGTCTACCATGGGTGGCATCATTCCCTAGCAGACGGGGGGGGGGCTAGATGAAGCAAGGGTCCATCCATTGGTCCTCTCCCGAATCGGGACTGTACATGTGGTACCCTAAGCTTCCGCCTTGACTCTTCTCCCCTCTGATGATGGACTGTGACCTGGAACGGTCAGCAGATAACTCCTTCCTCCTCTAAGTTGACTTTGCTCAGAATGTCTCATCACAGCCGCAGAATGAAGCTAGTCCCTTAGACTTCATGTCAATGTGTAGTAGTTGACTTTAGGGTGGTCGTTGGACTTCTTTGCATGTTCCTCTTCCCATCTGGCCACACTGTCTCCTTTATTCCCCCTTTCTTTCCTTTATGATGTTAATACGTTTCATTCCTGTTAACCGTGTCCTTGATTGGTCTATTGAAGTTGGGTGCGTGGCTGAGCCTAGCTTGAATACTGGGTCTCTGCCCAAAGAACACCGTACCCACAAGGCCGTCCTCACCACACGATGAAAAACTGCTCCCACTCTCCCATGTTCACCCCCTTTTCCTTCTTTGTTTTTTTTTCTGACTTACTTACTCTGCCTTAAACACACCCTAGTTTTCCTACTGTGTGCTATCACCCATCTCCTCAATGCCTGATACATGGGAGCTTAACAAATATGTATTGGTTATACAGAAAGAGCCGACTGCTTAACTTGGCTGTGGCTGTTGTTTTAAGTTCATTTAACTGAGAGACGCGGAGCGGCGGCCGACATGTTCCAGGGCGCCGACGGCCAGCCGGGCGAGTCGGGCTCCAGAGCCATGAAGCCCCCAGGAGGAGAATCGAGCGATCTTTTTGGAAGTCCAGAAGAAGGTGTTCCTTCAAACAAACCTAATAGGATGGCATCTAATATTTTTGGACCAACTGAAGAACCTAAAAACATACCGAAGCGGACAAATCCTCCAGGGGGCAAAGGAAGTGGTATCTTTGATGCATCGACTCCTGTGCAGACTCGACAGCGACTGAACCCACCTGGCGGGAAGACTAGTGACATATTTGGGTCCCCAGGCACTGCCACTGCACCCCTGGCACACCCAAACAAGCCCAAGGATCATGTTTTGCTATGTGAAGGTAAAGACTCTAAATCAGACCTGAAAGATACAACAAACTCACCCCGAGGAGAGCAGAGCGAGAAGGGAAGCTCAAAAGAAGCAGACCATGCCAAGATACCCGAGCCCACACCTACAGTTGACAGTCATGAGCCCAGACTGGGACCGCGGCCTCGGTCCCACAACAAGGTCCTGAACCCACCAGGAGGCAAATCCAGCATCTCCTTCTATTGAGAGGCTCCTCCTCTGCCTGTACTCAGACCGGAAACTCAGAGATAGGGTATTGAAATGTTAGTGCTTCCTTTAACCCAAATGAGTCGGGGTGGGAAAGGGGTTGTCATGCGTGTGGGGTTGCCTGCTCATAGGCCTGATGCCTTTGGAGGAGCTGCAGAAGGACTGTGCCTTCCAGACTGCCAAGATACACATCTGTGAGGATAAAGTGGGGCGCTCTTAGGCCTCCTCTATAGTTGTTCTGTGTGGAACAGTAAGGTTCTGGGAAGGGTGAAAGAGATGGCACCCGTTAGCAGAAGGCTCATTAGGGTCTGTCTCGTCCTTGTATCAACAGTCTGCTGGCTGTTGGGCATCTAAGAATGGTGGTTTGGCTGGGAAAGAAAGGAAAAAAAAACCAAACTACCTACCCCTCACTGGGATGGAAGAGAAACACATAGACAAAAACTCTTAAAGACAGAGTGAGGTCTACATAGCCTTTCCTTTCAGGGAATGCTTATCACCAAAATGTTTCCACCTCTGAGGTTACCTCTGAGCTCTAGTGTCTCCTTTTCCTTTTGTTCCCTTCAGTACGTCACCCTGTAGTGTTGGAATGTGACTGCTCTTTTTGGTAGCAGTCAACAGAAAATCAAACAGTTATTCTCAGCCTTGTCCTGAGTGGAAGGTTTGGATGCCCTGATCCTCTGAATTGTAGTCTCCTTACTGCACCTAAAACCATGGCCAGGTCTAGGTAGCAGCCTCTCTTCCTTTATGGTTGGTTTGGTTCCTGCCATGCCAGGTTTGCATATGGGTTGTTCCTTTTGTTTCTCTCATCAGCCTTGAGTCTAGCCTTAGTTCCTCACCGTGAGGGCTCTTGCTATCTGTGGTTCTTCCCGTACGTAAGGCCTCAACCTCTGCAGGGTTTTAAAGACTACTCAAATATGTCCAGGTATTGGGTGAATTTTTGATTTTCCCATCTGTTCCTGTAGTTGGGAGGAAGACCTGCTGAAGAATACTGGGTTGGGCGGGTTTCTTTAGCCATCTGCAGAGGTGTTGTTAGGATCACCAGCTTATGAATACCCACGGATTGTGCTTCTAACACCTAGAAAACGTCACTGTGTACACCAAAGCAGAAGAGTGACCTAAGCCACCTTTAGAAAGCTTCAGACTTCTTAACCTTGTTCATGAACAGTGCCCCTCAGGCCTGGATAGTGAGTATTTTGGCAATAAGGTCACAACTGTCATCTAACAGCAGAGATCCTGGCTCCACAGCCATACTGCCTGCTGCCCAGTCTTTCATGTCAGGAACATCTCCGTCCTGTTCCGTCTTTAAGGGCTGTAGCCTTAGTTCCTTGGTTCCCGCTTGTGGTGGGCATCTGTGAAAGGGCTCCTGAGTGGTGCTACAGAGCTTTATAGCAGATGCCAGAAATGTCCACGTCAGAGTTTGGGGAAGCAGCAGTTCTGCAGTCATGCTCATTGACCTAGATGCTCAAGTGCCTGCAGAAGCCCCTGCCGAGTTCTGCTTCCAGCACCTGGTTCATTGAGGGCTTTGACCATGGCTTTTGTCAACCAAAGAGTTTATACCTTTCAGCTGCCCTGTTTCCTGAAGCCAAGAAACATGTATTACATGTATGTAATTCTGTAACAACTCAAATGGGTTGTGGTTAAGTCATGAGGATGTCATTTGGAATTCAGAGTATTTTTTTCCATTTAAGAAAATGTCATAAATGTTTGCTTCATTTAGCCTAGACTCTGACATTTTTAACTTATAAGGAAATGATACAATGATAGAAACAAACCTTTTGTAACCGCTTTCTTAAGTAGAAAATGATTTGTGAATTCCAAATTGCATTATCAAGAAAAAAATCTGACATCACTGTGCTGGCCCTGCTGCTGGTCCAGCGAGAGAAGAGCTCCAAGACCACTTGCTGGCCTGGATGGCTGAGAGACTATGGGAACCTGAGACAGTGACCCACAGCAGCTGCCTTACTCGACTCCTCTTTCTCTGAAACTGGGCCCAGAGCATGGCCAGTCTGCCGCCCAGGAAGAGGCCCTGCCCAGCTAAATCCAGTGGAATACAGTTCTCACACCTGCATTAGCCTTAACACTTTGTTTAAGTGCATTTGGTGCCAACATTTTTCTAGCACTATGTCAGAGCAAGAAACCTGTCCTTACATCATAATGCTATTTTATAGGAATGTTCTGTTATTTTTATGAGACAAAACTGGGTATAATGGTTGAATTAAACTTAGTAACCACATTAAAAAAAAAGTTCATTTAACTGAAATGGCATCCATTACCCACTGTCTGCGTTGAGTAAAACTCACCCCCACACACACACGTATTTCTCTATACTGCCAAGGAGGGAGTGTCATGTGATTTTTAGTTCCACAGATGACTTTGATTGGCAAATGAAGCAGGAGTGCAAACAATTCTGACCCCATAGAAGTGAAAACCAAGACTCATAGAGAGGTAAGGCTCCCAGCATCCTCACTGGGTCACTGTCAGAACCAGGGTGGCTGAGGGTCTTGCTTCCTGGGTTGGATGTCATTTGCTGCTATGAGGATAACAAAAGGAAGATTGACAAGAGCAAATGTAAGAGATTTATTTCATCAGAGTTTTACAGGACATGCGAAAACAACTTTAGGGGGAAGGGGTTGTTTTGGCTTATAGTTCAGGGGGCAGAGGCCATCGTTCAAGGTAAACATGGCAGTGGCTGATCACACCGCCTCCTACTCAGGAAGCAAAGAGAGAACACCAAGTTATAGCACCTCAAAGTCAGCCCTGCTCAGCTCCCCTCCGGCGAGGCTCCACATCCAAATGGCTGCACAACCTTCCGGAACAACTCTATCAGCTGGGATTACGTGACCAAACTCGAGCATAAGGGGGACATTTCTCACTCAAACCACAACACAAATGAAAAGACAGCCCAGGAAAAACTGCAGTTTTAAGCTTGGTCTTGTCACCCTAGGATGAAACCAACTCAATTAGGAGCAAAGCAAATGTGTATCTGCGGGAGATTAGTGGTCACATCCAGGGAAACATAGATTCAGGCAGTTGTGACAAGTCTCCCCCGCCCACACACACACACATTTATAACTTTGGACCTGAAAGAGGTTGTAATTACATAATTGTTAGGAATTGGGAATGCAGCAGACAAAAGCTAAGGTTTGTAAGAAGGGACTGAGTGCAGGTAACCCCGTGGGAAGGAGGGGTAAACAATCTTCCCAAGCTCAGACGGGCTCCTGAGTAGACAAGCTGGCTGCCCAGGTCACAGCTCTGCTGCGGACCCTCCCAGACTCAGTGACAATGGCTGCCAGCTCCATTTTTAGTTTGCTTTGTTCTCCTCAATAAAGAGCGGACATTCATGTTGAAATACGACTGTGCACGGTGTGAAACCCTACTGAGGATGAACCAAAAGCACAGAAAGTCCTGTCCTGACCCTCCCTGCCGCGTCAAGGAATCATGAGAAACCCTCCGGAATGGGATTTTCGGATCCACTCGCAGAATCCCTAGGTCAGAGAATTTATGGCTAGCTTTTACCAGAGTAGATGGGAGAACGGCCGGATTCATATTTCTAGGTGTTATGGCTGCCTTTGGGGAAGAAACGGGGGTTCTAGTTTCTCTGTTGCCCTCGAAAGCACAGTAGGTTCGTAGCCTGCCGAAGCAGCTGCCTTGGCCCCAGCTTGGAGCTGATACTCTGAGCCTGGCTGGGTCTCCAGCGCGGGGCTTTGGGGTTGTCTGTGACTGTATCTTCCCCTGTGCACCCGTTCTTCCTGAGACGGTTCGCTTTGCTCCAAGGCACAACACCGTGTCTTTCTCTCCCTCCTTGTTTTTCTCTCCCGCCTCCTATATGGATGGCTGTCATTGTCCTCTGTCCTTCCAGCCCCATCCAGAAGAAACCCCTGCTCTTCCCTTTTGGCAGCAGCGCCTAGAACAAGGGTTCCTGCTTTTTGGGTTGTCTCCAGGTTCGAAAGGCAGAAACAGGTCCTGATCCCTTAAAATAATGGGAAAAGTTGACACAATTCACGTGCTTCCTAGGGGTCTAGCACCTCCCTTTCTTCTCAGGGCAGACTCCCAGTCTCCGCCTTACACCCCAGATCCCATTCTCGCTCTGCTTAGGACAAACCAACGCGTTCCTTCTCGGTGGCTCTGGAATTTTCCGTGCCTGTCTAAATCACAACACTGTCTGACTGGGTCAGTCGCTAGTATGGGATTCTTCATTGTTATCGCACATCTTTGCTAATTCGACCCTTCTCTAGACTCCACGATTGTTCCAGGGTGGGTGGATCAAAGAAGATGCCCGATTCTTTATCCCCACCACTTACGCTGAGGTGCCAAGTCCCACCCAGGATTGGGAGATAGAGACAATCTCAAGCAGGATTTATAGCTTAAGTGGAAAAGGTGAGAATCAGAATTTACACAAGGGGAAAGCCACCATCATCCCCCCACCCACCCTGTGTAGCGGGGCACAGCACCCGTGACACACACCACACAAATCTCATGGATTTTTGTGCACATAGTTGTCGCAGACGAAGAAGAGCAGCGCAGTTTGGGTCTAAATCAACCATCAGGCCAGGCTGGGCGGGCGCCGGCAGCTCCTCCAGGGGCTGCGGCGAGTGCTTGGAATTTTCCACCGATGGGCAGACCCGCAGAGCCGCGTCCCATTGGTGGAGCGCGGTGGCGTCGCCGCGTGGGTGCGGAGGTGAGGACGGCCAGCCAGCAGTGCGCAGTGGGCTCCGCAGAGGTTCTGACTGACCGGGTGGGCGGGGTCCGGAGGGGAGGCAGGAGTGGGGTAGCTGATCCCCAGCCCCTGCGTGCTGCTGCCCGACCTGGGGATGGGGAGGTGGGAGTCGGGTAAAGCTGGTCCTCAGCCCCCGCTCACTGCAGCCAGACCCGGGAATGGGGAGGGGGAAGGGAGAGGGCTCCCCTTTGCACAAACCCGGTCCCCCTCCTCCAGCCTGACTCCAGACCCCAGACCCCTGTTCCCTCTTCCTGGCTCTATTTAATGCATTAAGTGCGTTGTCATCAATAGATCCCATTTGGCGGTGTCTTTCACAGACTCAGGGATCAGGCCAGTACCTCTGACGGAATGGGAACCCATTCCTGGTTCATGGAGAAAAGCGGTGAAGGGCGGTGGGGTGCTTCTCTCAAACGAGAGAAATCGCAACACGGACTGTCAAATACGTGCAAGACAGGAGACGCCGCCCTGTCCAATCAGCACGCTCACGCGGGGCGAATTTTAAGGAATTTGTGTGGGAACCTGGCCTGCTACAGCTTTAATGCAGCCTGCTTCATTTCTCCCGAGTTGTTAAATACAACCTAGCGGCTTACCTTTGGCAAACTGGAAATGATTGTTGGGTGAATGAATCAACTCTGTGACAGCTAGGGAAGCCTTGGTTCCTGGGGTGGACTCATTTGTCACGTGACCTTGAACAACTGCAGGTGTCTCTGCACGCTTTGCTTTAAAAACCGAGGCTTAAATGCTGAGCTATACTCTGACCCAATCTCATCCTTCGGTGCCAGAGCTTGGCAGTACGATCTACAGCAGACGGACGGAGTTCGCAACCCAGGCATCCTTGACCACCAGTGGCTGAATAGACTGAGCAGGCTACCACACATTAGGGTATTATTACTCAGCCACCGAAAGAAAAGGCATGCTGACATGCCACACCATGCTGCCCCTGGAAAACTTGCCAGGTGGAAAAGGCAGATGCAGATATAGACCACACAGTGACATATATGTTCGCGCTGAGTGAGTCCACAGAGCCCAGCACAACAGCCCAGGTTGCCGAAGCTGGGTAGGGGGTGCGTTCAACCACCTGATATGATACCTTCAGCGTACATGAGAAAGCTCATGGCGCCCAGCACTATAAATTACTGTTACTGGACTCTATAAAACGTTTTATTTTATGTCAGGTGGATTTCCTCTTAATAACTTGTTTGGTTTTTCTAATTAAATTTTTCCCGTTGTTCGCGTGTGTGACTGCATGTCTGTGTGTAGGCTGGAGGTGGGCATCAGGAATCTTTCTCCTTTGCTCTATTACTTGCCCACTTTA